GAAAGAAAATTTGGGCTTAGAACAACAATTCCTAATGATTCCGGAGAACCGACTCTAGGAGAACCACCAACTATAAAATTATTAATTAATAAATAAAAAACTATTTTTTACATGGCGTTAATATTTGAATAAATAGAGACTTTGGACTAAGTACTCTTGGTTCAAAAGCTTTTGGAGACAATACTTGAGCCATAAAAACATCAGGATTTAAAACAAAAGCACTAAAAGCATCAGGAGAAAGAACCTCTGCTCTGAACGCCCAAGGATTGAGAATTCGGGCAACCATAGCCACTGGAGAAAGAATTGAAGCGATAAATGCTTGTGGAGATAAAACTTGTATCTTTTTATTAAATGATTAGTATAAAATTTTTAACTTAGAATTTTCTACCGTCATGAATTCAGGTGATAAAATTTCACTTGCAAATGCACTGGCCGATAAATAAACCTAAGAATGCGGAAAAACATTTAATATATTCTAAACATCCTTCATTAAAATAATCATAAACATCGGAAAATCATTAATTTTTAACATTATCCGGAAAACATTTAATTAATTCTTAAAATTATCTGGAGAAACATATCTAAAATTCTAAACATTTTCCGGAAAAACATTAAAATACTTATAATTATAAACAACTTCCGAAAAAACATTTAATATATTATAAACATTTTCTTGAAAAACATTTAATTAATTATGAAACTTATCAGTTAAAACATTCAATTAATTATAAACATTTTCCGGAAAAACATTTAAAAACATTTAATTATAATTCTAACTTATCCGGAAAAACATTTAATATATTTAAAAAATTATTTTTTGCTTTTATTCTCAACTTACTCCTTCTAATATAACACCATCAACTCTTTGTACAAATGCAGCAGCTGTCAATATAACAGTTCTTGGAAAATGCCCTCCAGGTTTTTCCTCCTCTGGGGATACTCCACTACCCTCTATGTCACTCTTATTTTGTTCAACACCTCCAATTATTAATGTATCTCGTCGGAAAATTTCATGAGTATTATTTTCCTGATCCATTCCTGAAGAATCTCCAAGTTTAGCAAAATTAATTATTTTTTCTTCAATTTGAGAAAGATCAATATTCATTGGATTTGATTCTCCTAAATAAATTACGCGTATTTTTTATACTAACCATTTTTTGATAGATTTTATAATATAAATTAGGGAAAGTTATTAAAAGAATTTTACTATTATAAGGATAATTTCTAAGAAAAACATTGTTAATTTTACTAACATTCTCTAAAAACATTCAATTTCCGGAAAAACATTTTCCGGAAAAACATGCAATTATAAACGATTTCCGGAAAAGCAAGCAATTAATTATCGAAGCTTTCCGGAAAAAGATTCAATTAATTGTAAAAGTTACCTAATATCTCACTTCTCTGCCTTTTATCCAAAATTGTGTATTGTTTTAATGACAAATCCATCTTTTGTTCCTCACTCAAACTTGTTTTTAATATTTCAATTCTCTTTTCATATTCTTTAATTCTTTTTACTGCTGGTAATATTTTTTGTTCAAAATATTCAATATCTGGTTGGAGTTTGTCCATTAATTTTAATAATTGTTTGTTGGCCCCACTCATTTCTAGCAACATTTCCAACCATTCATTTGTTTCAATTTCATCCAGTGAAATTAACTTTAAAAACAAAGCATGTTTAGATTGTTTATTAATTCAAAAACATTTTCTCGAAAACCTTTGTTTATTATTATAAAAGACCTTCAGGAAATACAGGAAAACATTGTTTTTTTATAACCTTTTTCGGAAAAACATTGTTTTTATTTATAAACTTTTCCGGAAAAACATTGATTGTTAATTAAAACATTTACAAGGAAAACATTGTATTTATTTATAACCTTTTTCGGAAAAACATATGTTATTAATTAAAACATCTACAAGAAAAAAATTGTTTTCTAATTTATAAACTTTTTCCGGAAAAAATATTAATTTAAATTAAAAAACTTTTTCATCAAAACAATGTTTTATAATTTTAAAACATGTTCAAATCATTGATTATTAATTCAAAACACTTTCCGGAAAAACATTATAATTTATAAACGTTTCCGGAAAAACTTTATTTTATAATTCAAAAACATGTTCCGGAAAAACTTTGTTTTATAATTTATAAACTCATTCAGAAACAATTACAACATGTTTTAGGTAAATTTCACTACCTGAAATAATTTTGGCAAAGGAAGGTCGCCGTTATCTCCAAAACTGAATAAATCTGGAGATAATAATTTTTGTCTATTTTTAGCATTCGAAAATAACGAAAAAATCCTTGGAGATAGAAAAGAAATACTGTCGTCTTTTCCTTCTGAGATCTTTCCGAAAATTAATTTTAATTGGTCGGCAAAATCAAAAGCTTTTTGATGCCATCCATATTTAATTAATTTAGTTGATGGTAAATACGAATTTATTTGACTTTAAAAAATATTTTTTATAAAATTTAATAAAAAATCAAAACTTTATATTATTTTGACTAATTCTTTGCAGATAATCATTTACATATTTATTTTGTTCAAAATACCATTGAAAACGTTTTAATAATTCTATATTTTTATATTTGTGTTTTTCTGAATAATAAATTAACTAAATAAATAAAAAAATAATGAAATCTACCAAAATTTTCTTTAGCTCTCTTTGATCTCATATATCTATTATTCAACCATAACCTCTTTTTCCTATGCCGATTTAACTGTCTTTTAATAGATATTTTATTAGCTAAAATTTTTTCTTTAGAATATTATTTTTAAATTTACTTTGTTGTTTTTGCACGAATCTTTGATGGTGTTGAAAATTTTGTAAATTAAAAAATAAATTCTGAATTAAGTTGTTATAAAATTGTTTTAAAAATAAAAGAATTTTCAAATTATTTCTAGAACATTTTCCGAGAAACAAACAAATTATACATTTTGCGAAACAAATAAATTTCAAACAAAACATTTTCCGGAAAACAAATAAAATTAAAACAAAACATCCGAAAACAAATAAATTTCATTTAAAACATTTTCCGGAAAACAAAACAAATAAATTTTAAACAAAACATTTTCCGGAAAACAAATAAATTTCATTTAAAACATTTTCCGGAAAACAAAACAAATAAATTTTAAACAAAACATTTTCTGGAAAACAAATGAATTTCATCCAAACATTTTCCGAAAACAAATAAATTTTAAACAAAACATTTTCCGGAAAACAAATAAATTTCAAACAAAACATTTTCCGGAAAACAAATAAAATTCAACAAAACATCCGAAAACATAAATTTATTTTAAAACATTTCCTGAAAACAAAACAAATAAATTTCAAACAAAACATTTACCGGGAAACAAATAAATTTCAAACAAAACATTTTCCGAAAAAAATAAATTTCAAACAAAACATTTTCGAAAACAAATAATTAAAAAAAATATTTTCCGAAAACAAATAAATTTCAAACAAAACATTTTCCGGACAATGTTTTATAGATTAAATAAACATACCAAAGTATTTTCAACAATTCCATTACAACAATTTAATTGTTGTTTTTGTTGTTCATCTTCATCAAATAAATTTTTAGATTCAATTAATTTAGATAAACATTTTGCATAATTTAAAGGGGATAAAGAATTTTTATTTAAATTTAAACATTCATTAAATAAAATTTTTTCTGTTTGTTTTACTTGTTTTAATTTTAATTTAGCTATAGACTTTAATAAAGCCATTAATGCTGCTCGTTGAAATAATAATTCCAATTTTTGTGGATTTAATTCAAATAAATATTTTTGTTGATTTTCGTCTTCTTCAATTTCTATATTTAAACATTTTTTAAATTATTGTTAAAAATAAATTTTCTTACCTTCAATCTGTAGTGATATTAGTTCGATCATTAAATTTAATAACAGAAATATAAATAAAATTTTCAAATTCGAACAGTTCAATAACATTAAATATACATGCAAATAAGAATAGAATATTATAATTTAGAAATTTATTAAGTTCGAGCTGATTTTGCTTAAGTTTAATTTAGTTACGCCTTAAATGTTTGAACAAACAAAGTTTTAATAAACTTTAAGTTTATAGCTAGCCAAGTTTTAAGTTTATAATACTTTTTTTAAACTTGAGTTTTTACTAACTCAAGTTTTTAAGTTTTACTTAAGTTTATTTAAAGTAATGTTCTACTTAAGTTTATTCTACTTAAGTTTATTTATTTATTTAACTTAAGTTCTACTTAAGTTTATTTTATGACTATTAAGTTTATATATTTAAGTATACTTAAGTTTTTTAGTTTGTTAATAATTTTTAAGTTAATAAATAAAATAATTTTTAAAATTCGTTATTAATGCATTGAATATGGATAAAATTCTTTACTATTTTTGTACTATAGGAATAAAAGTTTGGTTAATTACCGGATTAATTCTAGTGACTAAATACGTGAATTATTTTTCTCTTTGCGTAAAAAGTAAAATTTCTCAATATTTTAACCAAGAAAATAAAAAAGCGTAACGTTATTTTTGAAAAAATTATTTAAAAATAGAATAAAACATAACAGAAAAACTTAAAATTGCTAAATAAATTTATTACATAAAATATCTGAGTACATATGCATTGACGATTAATAGAAAAACCGGATTATTTGTTGGAAATGTGGATTACGGGCTTATAACAGAAAATAATTTTAATTATTATTATATCACTATTATTATATAAGTACAGTCGGACCTCACAATGAAATAGTTTCTTGTCTAAAAAAATTATTTCATATCATTTTTTGAAAAACAATGGCTTACCTAATAATCAACAGTGACGCAAAAGTTCCAGTTCTAGTTCCGGAACTGAAACCGTGGAACCGGGAAAGGTCCGGAACCGGTCTGGAACTGAAAAGGTGGAACCGGTAACGGTACGGACCGGTTTGGAACTGGAACCGTAGTTTAATTTTTTAAGGAAAGCAGTAGTGGTGAGGTCCGACGTAGACCAAAATATTTAAAATTATTTAAATTTCAAGACATTCGGAAATGAAATTGCTGTTGTTGCAATAATTGTTGTTGATGTTGTTGTTCAGCCGAGGGATTTAAATGTTGTTGGTTATAATTTAAATTTTGAAAAACATTCCCTTCTGTTATTTGTTGTTGTTGAGAATTTGACAGCATAATTAATGGCTGTTTTTGGATTGACATTTGTTGACACAAAATTGAATTAATTGGTGAAGATTCATTAATATCTCCACTAATTGTTGTGGATAATGCAGAAGAACAACAGGAAGAAGTGCAAATTGTATTAGAGGAATTATTAGTTGATAAGGAATAAAGTGAAGAATTATTATCAATTCTGTCAAGTGTTGAGCTAAATATTGACTCTTGGCTATGTGAACCATTTGAAGATATTGATGGGGTAATCATGTAAGATGGATTAGCCTTAATAAGATTTTTATAAAAAGATTTTTTTTAAAAATCGTAGGAACTCGATTTTATATACACCCACTATTAGATACCCTCTCAGGTTGAGATAATTTTTAAAGCTTATAGGATATTATGCACGTAAAATTGAGTGAGAGATTGTCTATGAAAAATGGTGGAAGAGACCTATGTATCAAAGCGCATAGAGACCGTATCAACAATAATGGATAACTCAGTTAGGGATACAATTTTTAACCCCCACGGGTGTATATGTAAATCGAGGTTTAATTTTATTACGTTTGTAGCAATTGCGGGCATTAAAATAATTGGTTTATTCATTGTTGGCATTAAACTTCCACCACTACTACGATTATTTGTGAAATAAAATCTGTCTGCTTGTGTTTGAAATGAAGGATTATTTGTTTTTGATGAATTAGGAGAAATCTTTTTGGGCATCGAACATGTAGTTGATATATTATCCTCTTCCAAATGAGAGGATAATGTCGAGGAAGAAGGTACAGAACGAATAAGTCCACCAACATTTCCTCCACTTTTATCAATCTTTTGACATTGCTGAACATCATTGCCTACTATAGGCATTTGTTGACATAAAAGGAAAGCAGTTGTTGAAGTTGGATGCTTTTGTTGATGTTGAATTGAATGCTGATTTAATAAATTTGGAGTTATATTTACCTATAAAAAAATTTTTTTTTAATTTCAAAAAATTTTCTTGCCTCCAAATGCTCCAAGGGTTGTTGTTGTTCATGTAATGATTGTGAAAAAATATTAACAACATCCTTTGGAGTCTTTCCATATCTGTGCATTAACTGCCTTAGTTCGGCCTCAAAATTTTCTTCTCCATTGTTAAGGGATAATTGGTTGTTTGGATCTTGTTGAGAATTCGTATTTGCTACAGACTGAATTTTAAGCTTATGAAAGCAAATTTTAATAAAAAAATTTCATACATTATCAGTGGCAAATTCATCATCTGGTTCATTGTTATTATCTGTAGTGTTTATCTTACAGGTCACAACAGCAACTCGCATTGGGGTGAAACTTAATTTTAGAAATTTTCATAACACTGTATAAAATTAAAAAAATCTAGGTTTAGAAAATAACTAATATCAGGTTTCCCTAGTAGAAGACAACAGCTGGATCAATTATAAATTTAAATTTACGTGATTGAATGTTGTTTCTCAATAGGGCCTGGATGTAGAGCATTAGACAGTATTTCTCGCGTTTTTATTTCTTGTGCAGGGTCCTGATTATCTCCAGAAACTTTCTGACAACGCTTTAGAACCTCCGCAACATGTACCCATTGTTTATCCGAATCGAGAACGAAATCAACCTTTTTAAATATTTTTGAATTAATTTAAATATTTCAATTTTTAACCTTCTCAGAAAGAATTATATCTTTTAGATAATCATTTAAATTTTTAGATTGAAGTTTTTTAACATCCAAAGGTTCCTAAAATATTATTTTTGAATTAAATATTTTTTAATTATATTTAATTACTAAATCAAGAAATTCATCATTTGAACATTTAACAGTAATACAAACACAAGCCCCTGCTACTAATGATAAACGCATTACAAGTCCTGAGCCGGGAAGTGTTCGTAGCATTGAATATACCTTTATTTATAAAAATTTTTAATTAACCTACGCATTAACTATCAAATTATCTCATGTTTAAGGTTAAGCCTTAATATCATCCATTTTTAATTTTAATCTTAAGAGAACTTTAATAACAAGTAGGTTCAAAGTTAAGATTAAGTTCCAAGTTTTAAATCAAACACTAATAACAGTTTTCAAGTTTAAGCTTAAAAATCAAATAAGTTTCAAATTTAGATATAAGTTTACATAAGTTTTAAGTTTAATCTTAATTATCAAGTTTTTCAAGTTCAAACTTGAATAGCAAGTAAGTTTCAAGTTTAAACTTGATGTCTATTAAGTTTAATTTAGCTTGAGTTTTTAAGTAAATTATAAGTTAAAGCTTAAGTTTCAGTCAAGTTTATATTTCAAACTTAAGCTTCAAGACGTCTAAGTCAGGTTTTATTGTTTAATTATTAATTTTAAATGTCTCAATTAATATATATTTACAGTATTTAATTCCATAAATCCTTGAAGCAATCCAGCCTCCCATAAATTTCGTGTTTCTGTTTTTTGGTCACTGAATAAATGCAAAAGTTCCAACATTCCTCTCCTTTTTTGATTTTATAAATATTTTTCAATTAAAATTTTAATTACCAAACACTAAATCTCAAATCACAATTTGGTGAAGTAAAATGCAAGTGAGGACAGAGAACATTTTTGAAACTTATTAAAGAAGGTTGGTCCAAAGAATATTCATTTGTTAGGTCAATTGTGGCTTTAATTTTAAAAATATTTTAAATTTCTTAATTTAATTTTATGCGTGGATTATGAGAGAAGATAGGAAGAAGGCGGATAGGAGCTGTTAAAGCTTCTGGCCTTAAATCTAAGATAAATGGCATTATGATAAAATAAGTTTCAGGCTTAAGTTAAATTGTCAAATTTTAAGTGTAAGTATTAAATAAGCTTAAGCTCAATTGTCAAGATTTTAAGTATAGACACTTGCAAACACGTTCCTAGTTCAAATGTCAAGTAGGTTGCAAGCTCGTTTAATTATCAAATAAATTTATGTTAACTTAAGTTCCACGTTTTTTACGTTTAAGGTTCTTATCAATAGGATTAAAGGATTATTAGAAACAAGTAAATTTCCAAATATGTATGCATAACTTACTGCGTTCAGTACACTCTGAACAATGCATTTTTTGTTGTAAGATATTAAAGTCTTCATCAATAAAGGTTCTTGTTACTTCTGCATTCATTGCAAAATAAAGGGAATAAAGCAATTTAAAATGTTTCCAGTCAATTTCTTTAAATTTTAGAAAATAAATTCAATTCATTTAAATTTATTTTTTACCCCCATCATGCCATTGAAGTAAAAGACCATCAAAGACATTTGTTCCATAAAGCCAAAAACATGTAGCTGTATAAGAACTCATCATTCGTTGAACTTGACAATCCTTAGAATTAAGGTACGTAATTGTCTTGTTTTCTTGACTATAGGGATCGGTTTTTGGAACCGCAGTAGAAACGAAACAATAGAACTGTCAAACCCTAAGAACACGTTGAGAGTCGAAACCGTGGAGCTGTCAAAAAATTGAAACCTTTTGGAACCGAAAAACCTATGTCACTCGAATATTTGGAATACACAGTTTGTCTAATTTATGTACGTATGCCAACAAGATATTTTTTCGAGAAATAAATTTTTTTGATTTTATCGGTAGGATTGAAACTTTAAAAAATATTCCTTAGATTCACCTGATTTCTTCTCGTTGCAATAGTAAAAGGTAATGAGAGTGTATGTGCTGTTGTAAAAGCACCAGAAAAACTGAACAATTCTGCCCTAACATGAAAATAAAAAAGAGGGCGTTTGCCTGTTTGGACAGCAGAACGAGTTTCAAGTAAAGTATCCTTTTAAATAAATTCATAAAAAATTTTTAATTTTTTAAAACACTTTTTGTCTTGTTGTACAGAGTAAATGAGGATATGTTGCACACCATCCTCCATGTTCTGTATCGTATAAGGGAGGGATAGAAATCCATTCCTTTGAATTTACATCTGATTTTTTATGTGCCGTATTTCCCCCTTCTGTTAAATTCAAAAATTTTTTGAGAATTATTTTCAGATCACCTTCAGATGCTTTAGCATTATTTCTTTTTACCCCAGTTGCTGGTTTCATTGCTAACAAAGCAGCTGTACGTGTTCTAAAATTATTATGCGAATGATTACTGTATTTTCTCCAAAATATTTCTCATATTTTTAAATGTTGCCTTCTAAAAGTAAACCTCCATAAAAATAAACCGCCCCCGAGAGGCTCAGTTAAATTATTTAAAAATACTTGCGAATGGGAGAGGGTGGATCAAAAGTTTTGTGATGAAGCATCTCCTGTTGTATTTGTTGTGCCATTTCTTCCGATACAATTTGTAACGAAAAGTCCCGGAAAAACGAGAAACGGCATAGTGAAACAATTTTCATAGGGAATCTAGTAGAATTTTTTTAGTAATTTACGAAGTTGATTTGTGTGAAATCAAGGAAAAAACATACAAATTATTAGTAACCAAAATTGGATTTAGACTTGGTTCTAGACAAATAATGCTATCACTAAGTAAAACATCAGCCATTTTATAGACCTATTGGTTAAATAAAAATATTTAATGATTGTTTAAGGTTCATTTACAATTGCCAATAAAGGTTTAACCAAATCAGAATGACCAGAAACGAAGCTTTTATTGTTGCGAATTTCATAAGCGAATCCCTGTATTCTAGCAGCCAAAACCCCCAAATTGTATAACATATGAGCATAAAATGTAACGGCAGAATCGAGAAACCCCTTATTTTCATATCCATAATTTGTCATTTTACGTATTTGATGTTCACGTAATTGTCTCCAAATCATTGAACCGTGCTGAAAAATTAATTTTTGAAGTATCTCTTTTGGAACTAACAGAATTAGCAAATGCTCTTTGTAAAGCAAAACAAGCATTTAATTGTGTCTTAAAATGGGCTATGTGTGCTTCAAATTCAAAAATATTGGCACTATTTTGTTGTTGGTGTTGTTGAGTCATTGTGTAAAGTTCATGAAGGGAAATGAGTGCTGTGACATAAGACTATTAAAAAATTTAAGGTATAGTGGTATTTCTCGTTATTAGAGGACTCCGAATGCATCGTTATTATCTGCCAAGTATTCCTCTCTCTCCCTTCCCCTCCACTCTACACCCCCTTAAACTCCACTCTACTCCTCCTTACCCTCCACTCTACTCCCCTTTCCCCTCCACTCTACTCACCCTTCCCCTCTACTCTACTTCCCCTTACCCTCCACTCTACTCCCGCTTCCCCTCCACTCTACTCCCCCTTACCCTCACCTCTACTCCCCCTTACCCTCCTTTTTAATCCCTCTCCACCCACCTTCCTCCTTCTATCAGATCTGATCTAAAAATAAATTTGTGTGTTATTTACTTGATAAAATCTTTCAAATTGCTGATCGTTAGGTTGTAATGTAGGTGGAGGCTGCATTCGATGCGCTTTATTAACCAAATCAACTAGGGCTGTATGTATCTTCTCCTGTTTAATAATGTTTATTTTCAAATAATACAACTTTAATTTATACTTTAAAATGCTTTCCACAATAATCCAAAAGGTTACTTTCATTTTTATTCATAGCCTCCAATCTGTTAATTATTTGTAATAATGCCCATGTTAAAAAACTCCACTCGTCAAAATAATCTGGAGTTATTGGATCTAAAATTAAGATATAGTATGAGCGGATTGAAGACGAACAAAGTTAGGGTCACTGTTTTTAAAAAACACTAGATATGAAATACCCAATTAAATGCCACGATTTTTGGTATCTGGCTAGGAACTACCTAGGCGATACCATCTATTTACGATACACTTCATTATTTATATAATTTTTCCAGAACTAAGATATACTTAAAAGTAGAGATCTCGAACATAAATCCAGACTATCAAGTTAAATATTTTTGAGGATCGACCTCCCCGTCCGATATCCACATAAAGATGTCAAGCTGCATAATTATTAATTAAATATTAATTAAATTAATTGCCTGTATTATTTGGCAAGCAAACAATTTTAGCTTCAACTTCATTCAAAATTCTATACATTGAACGATTTATATATTCACTCCTTTGTTCATCATTCATTGTATTGTCTTGGACAAGTTGGCCACATTGAGTGGTATCTTTTGATTGAATACGTTTAACTCTTTGAAAAATGCAGAGCTTAAAATAATTATTTTTCGAATTTTTTAGTTATGAAAGGGAAATTATGAAAAATTTATTATTAAATTAAATTTTATTTTTTTTTTATTTTCATTTCCTGTACTTAGCATATCTCATGTGACCTGTCATCGATTCATATATCCCTAAGAAGGTTCCGATTGAATCTCTCACTAATTCTATTATTAGTAGTTACGAGACCGTACATTTTCGTAATTATCAATAATTATTTAAGAGGCACTATATTGAGAGACCCAAATCAGATATTGGATCTCGCGGGATTTATTCCTTATCACCAACCAATTCAAAAACTTCCAATTGTAGCGATGCATAATCCCTCGTCTGAACATTATGCCCTCTCTGTGGAGGCTGTTGATGTTGCTGTAAGTGTTGTTGATGTTGTTGTTGTTGAGCTAAGGTAGACTGATTTGTTGATGAAGAAATCATTGAAATAAGTTATACTTTTAAAATATTAATTAATATGGAAGATAATTCAAAAATAAAATAATTAGACAGTAAAATGAGAATTTTCAAGGTAATATTATTATAGAAAATTTAAAAGATTTTTAGGTGTAATAATTAAGCAATTACAAAAGGCTATGAAGCAATCTCTTTTGCTTCATGGTCAAGGCGAGACACATGTTTAAGTGCCATAAAGGGACAAGACTAAGGTGATGATTTTCGTTAATACAGTCGGATCTCACGTTTATAAAATCAGAATTAGGTACTCCAATATCAGGTATCACCTCTCTCATCGATGTATAAGTGATGGAACTGTCTTAATATTTCCAAAATATTTACAAAATTAACCACATTATAAGTTAAATGCTCATTTTAGATTTTACTGTGAGGTCCGACTATATTTTTAATAAAATATTAAAAAAATTTTTCTTAGTTAATTTTTGTTCTAAAATTATTTTTTTAATTTATTTGTAAGCGAATTAATATCATTAATAATAATTTCTTATCAGAAAGAAAAGAAAAGTGTGGTAAATATTAATGTACATATTTATTAGTATTTTTTAATTGATTAAATAATAATTTTTGGAATTATCGAGAAAAGAGAAAAAAATTAAAATAATTTTTTTATTTTTCAAAATTTAATAAAAATAAATTTATTTAAATTTTATTTTTAATAATAATTAAAATGCGGCGAATAAAAAAGGGAAAAAAGGAGAGAAGGGCAAGTGAATGGCGGATGTTATTTTAATTAAGTAATAATGATGTAATAATCAATGCTTGTTTAGTCAAACTTTTGATGCGCGTGTTTTAAGTTTTAAAATAGTCAAAGTGTAATGTAAAATTGGAAGTGAAGGAAATTGGGAAATAAATTGGCAACTAGAGGCTAAATTTTTGAAGGAAAATAAATTATCGATGTAGGCGCTAAAATAAAAAATTTCGGGCCCCACAGTCTACACTGTAGGGCCCGAGGATATCGTGTAGACTGTAGCGTGTAGACTGTGGTCTCCGATTTTTGAGATTTTGTGTAAAATGATTAAGGTAATTTTTAGAGTTTTATCCAAAACGTTTAGTAAAGCAACGGGCACACCCCCAACGTACCGCGGAGCTATAACTTAGTTCGAAATATGGTTCTTAATATGGTTCGATTCAGCTCGTCGTCCCGAATTCGACTATTTTGAACGAACCTATAGCTCTGCGGTACGTTTGGCTCGCAAGACGTTGACCTGCTACCTCATGGTACTTCTATTAAGGCTTTAAAGCATTCTGATATCTATCCAAAAAAGCAAAATTAATACCATTTCTTCTCGTGATTAACACAAAATTTTATCTACCAGGATTTCTATAATCTAATAAAAATTTTTAACAAAATTATTGATGAAGTTGAAAAAATACAGTGATTTTAATTAATTAACAAATAAAATTTATTTTAACAAATTTACTCATAAGATAAAAATAAAAAATCTGCCTGTTAAATGATTTGAAAGGTTTATTAAATTATTAATTTTCTTTCTTAACAAAAAATACATTAAATAATCATTAATTTCGTCCTAATGTCCTCCGACTAGAAAATTTTTTTTCTAAAATTTTTTTCTCGTTTTCAAACACTTTCCCCTCTCCTTCTCAATTATTCTTATATTGCTGTTAAATTAATTAATTAAATTGCAGTAATTTTATGGTCTTTAATTTAAACATACAATCCATTTTATTTAACCAACAAAATTTTAAACATCCAAAAACAGCAAAAAAATTATTGAGTATTTATTTTCTCGTGATTTAATATATAATTTGATTTAATTTTTATTATTTTTTACAACTGATAATTTTTTATGTTGTAAATCGCTTTTTATTATTTTAACAAAATTGTGATTCAAATTGAATTATTATTTGAATTTAAATTAAAAATTTAATTCATTTTCTTTTGTAAAAGCTGATTAGCTTAAACTTTAATGTTTGATAGCGCTTTCACGTTCCATGAAATTTATTGTTGAATTAATCTGGTCAATTTAAAATTAAACAGAGTCGGTCATTTAAATTCTCGGTAATACATAGTGTCGTTTACAGGCCCCATTTTTTTCTCCCCAAGCTTTTTCGTATATTTGAACAGAATGGTCAACTTTTCCCTTCTTCCGACCTAAATCCCTATCTATAAATTTTACTTTCTCGCTAATACTTTTTAAATCCAAAAATTATGCTTCTTGATTGTGGTAAAATATAGAAAGGCAAAAGGGATGTAATAAGGGTTAAAGCCTGACCATTCTGTTCATATATAGGAAAAAACTTGGGTAGAAGGAAATAGGGCCTGGAAACGATACTATTACTAAATTGTCTAAAAGATTTTCAAATTCACACGTTAAAAATTTTCTTTAATTTTCTATTTCTTGTTAATATTTTGACTTTAAATTAAAAAATCAACCAAAAATTGCTAAATGTTTTATACTGAAATTTAAAAAATCACAATGCTTGTCAAGAAAAGTGTTAGGAAAAATAAATATAATTTACATAAAGAATAATATGTACATAACTAAGAAAGTATTCTAATGACCGGCTCTTCTAATGTCTTGTTTATATAAAAATTTTCAGAAATGAGTGATCTATTATAAGGTGTACGGAATTTTGGGCACTGGAATTTTGGTTAAAAATAGGAATTTTGGACACCAAACGAGAAAAACGAATTTTTTCTAAAACTGATATCAAAGCGATAAAAATTGTTCTTCAACTCCTAGTTAATAAATTTCAATGTTGATCACAATGCTGGTTAATCAATTTTCCAGGAGTGTGATTAATAGTGATCAACCAAAAGAGTGATCAGCCGGGATAGTGATAAACATTGAAATTAATCAACTGGGGGTCGAAAAATCATTTTTTATCACTTTGATATCAGCTTTAGAAAAGATTCGTTTTCTCGTTTGGTGACCAAAATTCCTATTTTTGAGCAAAATTTCAGTGCCCAATATTCCGTTTTTAACTTTGTGACCAAGATTCCGCTGGTGACCAAAATTCCAAAAAAGTTGGTCACCAAATTTCCGAAAATCCTTGGTGACCAAAATTCCAGCGACCAAAATTCCGGTACCCTATATAATTAATAAAGGATCTCCAAAAAATATTCTCAACTAAATACTATCAACTATTATAATATAAAGAAAAGACAATTAGTGAGCATCTGGTCATACTACAGCTAAATTTAAATAAAAGGGGACAGATCAAATAGAGCAATATGCTCTAGTTTTTACAGCTCGTCAGATAAACTCTTTCGCTCAATGCCCTCGCGTTGGACTTCCACTTCACTTTTTGCCTAAGTGTAAACTCTTTTTTCCTTTTCCGCGTCTATGACGAGTACCGCTACCTTGTCCATGAAGACGTTTTTCTAGTATTTCCAAATAATTTTAATCAAAAAATAAACATACTACCAGTAATCGCAGTGGGTACTTTTCCCCTTTTGACTACATATGTTCCTTGATTCGACTTTTGTTTCTCGAGAAATTCCAAGAAAGGCATTTCTCCGTATAATTTAACGAGGAATAATCGAGCTACACCTTCCATGTTCATCGTTTTTTTATCATTCATTTTTAAACAAATTTCTTTGTCGACAAGTTCTACAATTCCTTCCGTGTTGACCTCTTTTACATATTCATTCCGGCATACCTGAAATGACAT